TAAACTAAACTAAACTAAGTAGTATATTACTTATTACTATATATAGTAGTACGTAACGTACGTAGTACGGTAAGTAATACTACTACTACTCTCTCTCTCTCTCTCTCTCTCTCTCTCTCTCTCTCTCTCTCTCTCTCTCTCTCTCTCTCATTGTTTTAGAGAAGATAAAACATGTGAAAGATACATTCAATTTGAAGATTTGAACAGCTAAAAACAAACACCTCTCACTCAAAGTCCAAGCCATCTGTAGGAGAATGAGTAGTTACAGTCCACAAAAATGTAAGTGAAACAATACAATCGAAAGCAACTATTGGATGAGAGGATGAGCGCAAAAGCCCTAAATATGTGAGGAATTCCATGAGGCTGGTGATCGAAGAGGTCCGATTTTCTAGGAACTTTTAAAGAAAGAAGCAAGAGATCAGAAAGCTCAAAAGGCTCTGTGTATTTCAGAGTGTATGTCCTTCTCTCTATCCTCCCTTATAGTAGGAAAACATGGAGTTCAATATTCATGTTCTCAATGAGTCTCTAAGAAATGGCCCTCCCAAAAGAAAAGGATCTGCTTATCGTCACAACAATATGACCGTTTAAAGAAACCGTTTAGAAAATAATTAATTGTGTATAAAATATTCTATTGAGGAAAATTTTATAAAAGGGATAAGCATGAAGTATTTCCCATGGGATTCTTCCTATGAGAATAGGAATGGCAAAATGAGGCCTCATAGCCACATATGCCAACATCTCCCACTCGGCCATGAGAGCTGAGCACTAATATTTGTCATAAAGTTTACTCCCACTTTTAAATGTAACCTTTATGACAATATCTTGTCATGAGGGTTCTCTTATGCTTACTTGGATATGCCTCTCATGACAAATGTCCAAATTTTGCATCAAGAGGATTTTCACTCTAATGTGGATTTGTCATTCATGAAAGCCTTATAAATTAGACATTGTTAAGTATCATTAAGTTAATATGCTTAAAAAATAATTCCACACTTAGACCCTTGCTAATTGGTTTGCCATCATATTAGATGGGGGCAAATAACCTGCAGTCACCTCATTCTTCTCAATTACATCCTGAATGTAATGATAATGCACCTCTATGTGTCTACCTTTGGAGCTATTTGCTCAACTTTGTAATTTTAATTGTAGCTTGAATATCAAAAAAAAAATTGAACTGGCCCGTTGATTATTGCATCTTCAAGTCATTTATGAAGCACTTTATCCATATGGTGTTAAGTACAAGTAATGCTACACGCAATATACTATGCTTCCTATATATATCGAGTAACACATCCTTGTTATCAACCTTATTCTTAGCAAAATATGTAGCAGAGTATCCTAAACCTTCAAGCTTATCTGTTTGAAAACAAAATTTAAGATGTTTGGTTCCCTTAATGTACCTTAGAGTTATTTTAATGCATTTCAATGGGCTATGTCATAATTACTTTGATACCTACTCACATGGCCAACACCATAGTTCAAATATGGTCTTGCACATCGTACAATATATATTACGTTGCCAATAGCTTATGCACAAGGAACATTGGGTTTGTCTTGTCCTTCTACTGGACAACCCATCTTAGATAATTGTATTCCCTTCTCAATAGGAATGGATAAGGGTTTACAATTTTCCACTCGGAATCTTTTAAGGATACAGTCAAAATATCTCTCCCCTATCTTTCATCTCAAACCAAGAAGAAAGCCATGACTTGGTCTCATCAATCATTTCCAAGTCATTTCCAGCTACTAGTATATCATCCACGTATAATTAGATACTGTAAGATTACTCCCATTCCCCAAGGCATACACACAATGATCTAGTCTATTCACTTCATATCCTATTTGAAAGATAGCATTGTGAAATGTCAAGTTCCACATCTTGAAGATTGTTTTAGATCATATAAAGACTTATGGCCCTTAATTATGCAGCATTTACATCCATTTGATAAAGTTCTAAGTCATAGCGAGCAACAAACACGAAATTATTCTAGTAAATGATGGTTTCCTTTAATTCTCCAATACAAAATGCAGCATTTACATCTATTTGATAGAGTTCTAAGTCATAGTGAGCAACAAATGCTAAATTGTTCTAGTGGATATGAGCGCTACAATCGTGGAATAAATGCCAATATAGTCGACTCCTTTTCTTTAGGTAAAGCCCTTTGCTACTAATCTAATTATCTATTGAGCCATTAGATTTTAGCTTTTCTTTAAGTACCAATTTGCAATCAATAGGCTTCATATTTAAGGGTAAATCACAAATATCTCATAACTTCATTATTTTAAAGTGAATCAATTTCTTCTCTCATGGCATTAAACCATTCTTGAGATTCTTGTCACGTCATCCCATCATAGAAGTCAAACGGCTCATCAACGTCATCTAAGTCTACAACTATCTATGTCCTCACTCATGTAGACATAAAAGTTATCAAGATAACATGGAGCTCTAAACCTCTTTTCACCACTTAGCTTAGGATGCATTGTTGTTTCAACATCATCATCTTGGTTATGATGTCTACCATCCGTTGTAGGTAGTGGTTCTAAATCACCTATAATCTTAAGAGGATCATCATTATCATCTATAGGTGGACTTTTTAGGCTAAGATCTTCTAGGAACTCAGCATCTTTACTTTCAATGAGACCCTTGTCCTTATCATAAAACCTATAAACCTTTAAACCTTCAGGGTACCTTATAAAATTACAAATTAGTGTTTTATTTTCTAATTCATATCTGCTTTGATGTGCAACAAAAAAATGCGTTGTTGACCCCCATCTCTTTAAGTTGCTCAATTCAGGTCTCCTATTTGTACATAATTCATAAGGTGATAAGGGGTAGAATCTATTGCTTTAGTTGGAATCCTATTAAGCATATACATTGTTGTACTTACTGCTTCTATTAGTGCTTCTATCTTGAATAAGAAGTATTCTAATTTTTTGTTTTCTTCTCAATAGGTTTATGAGTTTATTGCTAATGCCAAGTGGTTCACCCTTCAGCACATATGATAATCTATGTTGAATACGAAGATATTCCATCTTCCTCTTTCACATGCTAAATTTGGTCTCATTTAATTTATCTATTTTTGACAATTTTTCCATCATAATTCTGCTAGCCATGGGACTTGTTAAGTTATATTTGAGCAACCTAATAGTTTCTATGTTCTAAACAAAATTAGATTGTAAAAGAAACTAACTAGAAACCGCCAATAATTACTCAATGTATGGTTTATCCCCATAAAGAGAAAGAGCCACAAATTGCACACTAATCAATGAATATGAATTGTCCTTGATGTTACCACTAAGTTTTTCTAGTAAAAAATTCTTTATGTATAGTGAGAAAAAAAAATAGAACAATAATCAAGATCATAAGCAAACTTTCACAAGCCGAACAGATGCTCTCTAGGTTTCACAATAAATATTTATAAAACAAAGTTTTTCACAAATAAAATTTATTTCTTTTCTAGCACTCTAACCCAACCACCATCCCCTTTCACACAAAAATTCATGTTATTTCATTAACCAAAATTCATGGAACTCATTTCACACAAAACAGATAATAAAAAATATATATAAAACAAGAGCAATATCAATCAACTATTATTATTGATGAGAATGGGGAAAACACCCCCCAAAAAAAAAAAAGGCACAAATAAAGGTCCTAATAAACATGGCATTTTTGTGGGTTTTGGGTGAAAAAGTTTAAAGAAGGAACACCTTTCGGTGTTTCTGTCCTTTGGGTAGAATTTTAAGACAGATGAATTTTCTGAAACAGGAGCTCATAGTGCCCAAATAGAAATGAAAAATTTGAAATTGTGAGTTTTATTTGTGATCCCTCTTCTCCTTAGAGAAGAATAAATGAATATGTGAGGAGCAAACCATACAACAAAGTGGAGAGAGAGAACATCACCTTTAAAAAAAAAAGATCGATCTATCTCTATAACAAAGATCCATCTATCTCTATAACATTAAAAGCCAAAAGGACAGAGGAAGCCTTTTGTTGTTGTTTCTCGTTCGAAAAAGTCAAAACATCTTGGGGAAAATGATAAGCTTTTGCCCTTCGTTTATGTGGTCCAAGAGAAAAGGTGAGGAAGATGACTACTTAATTACTTTAGCATTAGAAAAGTGTATTGTAACCCTTTTATACAATATTGATATAAAACCAATGTTAAACTGATGGAACAAATAGCTTTAAAACAAAGAAAATAAGGGCTTGTTTCTGATAAGGTTAGCAGAGATCAAGCATAAGAATCAATACTGAAACAGGGGTATGGCGGAACTTGTAGCAGAGAAAGAACAAGGCTAATAAGTTTGCTCATTAAGATTGACGTTTTAAAGAAGCGTGCAGTAAGATGCAAAGTAATATTAAAACGTGCGATATGTAATTAAGATAAAAAAACTGACTGCAAATTCAAGAAAACTCACAAAGGACAAAAATATAAATACCAAAATAAAGAGGAAGATGAAACCTGGTTCGCTCTAATACCAATAAAAAGTAAATATTGGATGCGAGGATAAAAGCCAGAGCCCTATATCTGAGAGGGAATGCATGAGGCTAGTGGTCCCAGAGCCGGATTTTCTAGAAACTTTTAAAGAGAACAACAAGAGATCAAAAAGCTCAAAAACCTATGTGTTTGTCACTTTGTATATCCTTCTCTCTGACTTCCCTCACATATAGCAAGATATGGACTCCAACATTCCTCTTCTCAATGGGACTTTGAGAAACAGACTCCCAAAAGATTGGGATGTGCTTATCCTCCCAACAACATGACCATTTGAAGAAAACTATTCAGAAAATAATTGATTATGTACAAAATTATAATATTGATAAAAACTTCATAAAAGGGATGAGCATGAATGGCAACGTGAGGCCCATGGCCACAGGGGCCAACAGCAAACAATACTCCCAACCAGAAAAACACTTCATTGCAATAAAAATTTGAGGAAAGCATGGTCTCAGAAAACTCAAAAGTCCTTTCATATTACACCAATCTTAGTGGCAAATGGAAATGAAATTACTGCAATCAATCAACGACAGCCCATAGTCGCCCATCAAATGACATTGAATTTGCTCTGCACTGCCCAATCTCATATGGATTTCGAACAAATCATGAGAATGAAATGGAATTCAATTTAACCAGAATCAGTATATGACCTTGATGAAGTTCATCACGATAAGTCACTAAATAAACCTTTCCAATGAACAATGAAACCTTGGATAATCTCATTTATTGTTGTCCATGTCTATTATATATGTTTTGGGAATTTTACTGTTTATGTGAACAAAGAACACACAAAAACAGTAACTCTGTGGAAAAAGAAGGATTGAGTGGAATAATTCTCCATTTTCCACCATTGGAAACTACTACACAAATTATAATCCACAGTCGAAGTGATGCCCAAAAGAATTTGTCGCATGAAAAATTAACAGTAAATTAGAATCTCAATGAAAATAAAATGAGAGTTACCTGGTTTAAGAACTCACATGGCAATGATAATTAGGGTTTGGTTCAGACCAAGTATTTGTAGTGCTTGCTTTCCCTGGGAGGAATGCAAAGGCGGGCTGGACTGGGACTGCAATAATTTTGAATCTATTTATTTAGAGAGAAAAATCATTTATATCTGTGGAGAGAGAGAATGAATTCCTTCCTCAGATAAAATTATGTCAGATAGCATTCATGCATTCAGAGAGAATGTAGAATCGTGAGAATTGAGATACAGGGAAATCATTAATGTATACAGGCTCTAGGGAGTGAATTCGCTCCCTTTTTAGAGAGAGAAAAAGTTAGTGATTTATTTAGGTTTTAGAGAGAGAGAGAGACTGAACGCGGTAGTGTCAAGTCCAATAAAGGTTTATTAGTTGTCGACAATATCCATGAACCTTCGAAATGGACACTTTTGTGATATTTTCACGACAATTCTGAATATACCCCTAATTAATTTTATCCCCACACGTTTAGCGAAAACTTTATATAAAGCCGAGGCTCTAAACAATCAAATTAGAGCCTACCTCAAAACTTTGACTAGAAGAAGTTTTCTTGATGCCCAAATATCCTCAAATTGATCATCTCAACATCAAGATGCATGGGCATAAGAAAAAAATGGATTTCAAGTTTTTTAAATAGTGCATCTTGTAACTCATTATTTTACCATCAATTTTCATGATTTTCAAGTTTTCATAGATATGCTCGATCTATACTATTTTTAAAGTTTAAGTTTTATAATTAAATATCAAAATATACTTTAAGGATATCACAAAGATTTTCAATATTAAAACCATACTTTTCAATACTATTTGAAAGTGGGCTCTAATTTGATTGTTTAGAGCTTCGGATCTATACAAACCACATCCTATATTTTAACCATCGGAAAAAGTTTATATAAGAGTAGCACCTAAAAAATCCATCGGTAAAAGTAGTTTTAATGTTGAAAAGGTCTCTAATTGTTCATCTAGACACTGACATATATGAATATGTAAAAAAAAAGGATTTTGAATTCCATAAATAATGCAACTTGCAACACATTAATTAAACCGTTCATTTCAAAATTATTATATGTTTATAGATCTGCTTGATTTTAACCATTTTTTTAGTTTAAAAATTCATTATTAAATATGAAAATAGATTTTAAGATAATCCTATGAATTTTTACACCAAAATTACATGAGATGATAAAAATTGGGGTGCGCCTTAATTGGATTGTTTGAGGTTGCAACCTTATAGAAATCACACCCTTTAACCATTTAAATTAAGAGATCTGTATGGTAATATCCTTTCGGAAAAAGTTTATATAAATGTCAGTCTCTAAACAATCAATTTAGGGTGTACCTAAAAAATTTCACTAGAAAAGGTTGTTTTGATGCCCAAATATCCTCAAATTTATCATCTCGACCTCAAGATGCATGGATATGAGAAAAAATGCATTTCAAGTTTTGGAAATAGTGCATCTTATAATGCATTTTTTCATCATCAATTTTCAAGATTTTAAAGTTTTCATAAATCAACTCGATCTACACTATGTTTTAAGCTTTAATTTTTATCATTAGGGATGAAAAATATACTTTAATGCTATCACAAAAATTTCCAATATTGAAATCACATTTCTCGATACTATTTGAAGGTGTGCTTTATTTTGATTGTTTAGAGCCTCGGCTCTATACAAATCGCACCCCTTAATTGAAGATAAATGTATGATAATATGATAAATGTATGATAATATCATTTCAAGATATTGTTATTAAAAACTTTGCTTGAAAATATGAATATATATTCATGCTTATTTTTATTATTAATGTTTTTCCAAAGTGCTCTAACTTCGGAACTTTGATCTTTGAAGCTTTTTTACCCTTTTTTTTTTAAAAAAATGCATATTTATTTTACCCATTTTTTAATGGAAAAAGTTTATATAATATTGCAACCTTATAATGTAGAGCTATAGATACACCTCAAAAATCCATCAGAAAATATAGTTTTAATGTTGAAAAACCCTTTGATTGACCATCTCAACATCGAGATGTATGACTATGAAAAATAAAAAGATTTTAAGTCTCAAAAATAGTACATTTTACAACATATTATCTACATCGTCAATTTTCAAGATTTTCGTATGTTTATAGATCTACTTGATTTTATCCATTTTTAAAATTTAGAATTTTATAATTAGATATAAAAATAGATTTTGAGATAATTGTAAGAACATTTTACATCAAAATTTTATACCATGATAAAATTTGAAGGCGCACTTTACCTCTACTACTACGGATGCATCCGTATGCCAATTGCACCCTTTTTTAAAAGAAAAAGGTTTATATAAGGATGCAACCTTATAATGTAAAACTATGGATACACCTAAAAAATCCATTGAAAAATGTAGTTTTAATATTGAAATATCCTTTGATTGATCATCTCGACATTGAGATGTATGACCATGAAAAATAAAAAAAAAATTAAGTATCATAAAAAGTGTATTTTACAACATATTTTCTACACAGTCCATTTTCAAGATTTTCATTTGTTTATAGATCTACTTGATTTTAACCATTTTATATTTAAAATTGTATAATTGGATATAAAAATAGATTTTGAGACAATCCTAATAACATTTTACATCAAAATTATATATTATGATAAAATTTGAAGGTGCACCCTACCTCTACACCTACACCTACGGATGTGGCCGTATGCAAACTGCACCCTTTTTAAAAGCAGGAACTTCTTATTTTAAAATCCAAAGTTCAACGAGCCTTGGATTTTGAATTTTTGAAGTATTCTTTAGAGCCTACTGGAGTGCAATCTTACCTATATGCTTGTTGCATTGTCAAATAACTTTGGATTTAAGAAATGTGAAGTATTCTATGTAGCGAGGCCGTGTGTTTGTTGCACCCAGAGAAAACTTCGAATTTTCAAATTCGAAAATATATAGAACTTAAAAAAAAAAAAACTTAATATAGAGCCGATGCTATAAAAAGTCAAATTAAAGCCCACATCATAACTTGAACTATACGAGGTTGTTTTGATGCTCAAATATCCTCAAATTCATCATCTCAATATCAAGATGTACAGATACGAGAAAAAAATAAATTTTAAGTTTTGGAAATAGTGCATATTGTAAGCATTTATTGACCGTCAATTTTCAAGATTTTCATGGATCCGCTCAATCTACACTATTTTTGAAGCTTTAAATTTTATAATTAGAGATAAAAATATATTTTAAGGCTATAACAAAGATTTATGCTATTGAAACTATATTTCTCGACACTATTTGAATGTGTGCTTTACTTTGATTGTTAGAGCCTCGGCTTTATACAAACCGTACCTTTTAAAAAAAAGGGGCAAAAGTTGGTGCAAGCTTTCTATGCTTCCCCTACATATAAAATTTATATACTTTCCTTTATCCAATCGTCCATTATGAATAGAGGGCTAAGATTGCCCTAATCACAATGTCATGTATCTACACTATTTTATTTATTTATTTATTTTTCTATAAATTATTTTGACACCAAAATTTGTACGTCCAATCATCGATTAAACTCGTACCAGCAATATATATATATATATATATATATATTTTAAATAACAAAAATGATCGAAGTATCTTTAAAAGTTTCAAAGGGTATTTTAGTCATTATATTTTATCGAAAAACTATTTTTAATATTTTTTATTGGTGCGCCCCAATGAGAAGATGGCACGTACCGAATTTCATATTCATACAATGTGTATAAAAAAACTAAAAATAAAATACTTTGAGACGTCATATATAAGATCAAATGGTCAGTGGCTCTTTTGATCAAAATTGGACGGCTGGATGGTAGGAGAAACATAGATGTTCCAGGGAAAGTATAGAAACTTTTACCTATGAAGTTAGGGTATTTATGGAAAAAAATAAAAGAATGAAAAAAAGATAGGTATGAGCAAATATCCATATTTTCAAGGGGATGTTTTAACAATGGTAATTTAAATGGATATAACAGTAGTCCTCTATTAATTTAACTTGAAAATCTAAGAAAATTTATTACAATCTATATGGATTCAAGTTTAAAATTCCTGAAAAAAAAAAAAAAGAAAAATCATAAATTGGAATAGTTGAAAAGAATTTTCACAGTTTAAATTATAGGTGTGTTAGATAAATTTCCAATAAATTAATGCTAAGATAGTGTATGCTCTTGGAGTACCATATGTCTTCCATGCACTCAACAGATTTCAAGCTATAAAAATATAGTTATTGTAACAATTTATCCAGACCATTCATTCTCCCAAAAAGAAAGTGCTCGTAAACCCACATGATCCGTATTATTTATTGAGTTTTCAATTGGATTTGTACTATTTATTGAGTTTCAAATTGTATTATTGGTGTTGAAATTGATTTTAGAACCATAATACATTCCGAAAGTGCTTTTTGAACAAAAATACGAGATGAGATGAGGTTTTGTTTTGTTTGTACAAAGACTAGGCCTTCTAGAAACCATATCTTTTATTCTTTTTGAACGAAAATACGAGATGAGATGAGGTTTTGTTTTGTTTGTACAAAGACTAGGCCTTCTAGAAACCATATCTTTTATTTTTTCACATCCATGCATCTCTGAGTTCAAGGTGATCCACTTCAAAGGTTTTTCATTTTAGACCGCGAAATGTAAAATTCGTGGGAATTATAAATTATCGCCTTCTAGCCCGAGAAATATAGAGCCAGAGAGAGGAGAGACAGAGAGAGATTTATCTCAGAGAGAGGGAGAGAGACCTTCCTCACTTCTCATGGCGACTGAGAACGTCCAGGGTCAGGCCCAAGCCCAGGCTCAGGCTCAAGTCCAGGCAGAGAAACTGAACCAGGCTTTACAGCACCAGCTGAATTTGGAGGGAGTGAGAACTCGAGCATTGGACCTCTTCAATACCATCTCTCGTCTCCTTGAAATATTCGATCCCATTTCTAGGGCTAACCCCAATCTTCGCAAATGGTCAGCAATTTCTCTCATTTTTTTAATATTTTATCTGGGAATTTTTTTTGCTCATTTCCTCCCTTTTCCTATATGAATGGTTGGTGAATTACTGAGATATATGCCATCTCTGATGAAGAATGGAGAAGTTCATGGAATTCTGGATATTTGCATCTTTATTTAAGGGGATTGGTGTTTTCATGGCTTTGGTTTCTTAATCTTACTCTTGGTGCCATTTTTATATGGGGTTTTCGTAATTGTATTGTTTTTTCGTGGTTTCTTTTATCATTTGCCTTTTCAGCGTGAAAATTAATTTCGGGTTTGGCTAATTATGTAGATTTTTTGTCGCATTTTATTATTTGATTTCTTTGTTACTGCAAATGCTATTTATTACTCCTATTGCTGCATAATTAGGGTTTTATATGGATGCTGAGTTTGTAGTCAACTTCTGATATGAGTGTTCATGTTAACTTTTACACATTTATTCGTAAAATAACAACTTTTTATAATATATATTCCATTCTCCCTCTCTCCTGCATACATCCATTTCTACTTTCTCTCTAAACTCTATTTATAAGTGTTGTTTGCACATTCATTTATTTGATTTCTATACTCTGGTGCGCACATCCATTTCTACATCAGCTCTCATATAAAAATAAAAATAATAAAAATAATAAAAATTTAATTGATAATCAATGAGAAATTACACAACACAATCATAATAAAAAATTTCACATAACATAATCCTCATAAGAGATTAGTAAAAGCTCAATTGAAATAAGATACTTCTTTAGTCTTCTTAGTCTCCTCCAATGCCTCAAAATTTTCTAATACAATTATCACAAATCACACCTTTTAGTTTACTAATCAAACTTCTTCCCATTTTTTTTGCTGGTACCATAAAGATTTTGAATTTGCTATCATAAATTTATTGTTTATTTGAAATTATATAGAGAGACATTTGAAAGACTTCTTTAAAAAATAAATAAAAATAAGGTTTATTACAATAAAATCATGTTATTCTAATCATATTATTCCAATGACTTATCATATTGAAACCAAAGTCTAATCATGTTAGAAGACATGTGATTCCATGTAAGTGCCAAAGGCATGCAAAATAAGTAAGAAATGGTGTCATGATGACTATAGAATGGTACAAGTTATTATTAGAAAAGCTTTTTGGAATGGTGATGCTGTTATTATTAGAAAATCTTTTTTGAATGGTGTGATGATGACTTTAATTCCGCATTTCAGTGGAATTTTGTGACAAAAAAGAAAGAAACGATAGTTTATAGGTAAATGCTTGTAAAATGTTGGTAATGTATTTCCCATATTTCTTTTGGACATAGCCAAACAGTAGCAATGTACTACCGTAGTTGCATCTAAATACTACCCAAACAGTGACAATCCATTTGCAGGCAATATATTACGTAGTACTGTATTACATCAGTAATATATTTCACAGACAATATATTTTCAAGTATCCAAACGACCCCTTAAAGACTACACTGATTCAAATATTCTTCTTAAAAGTTAGCTAAATTCATGGATGCAGATTTTCATTTTAATCACTAGCTAGATAAACTGATGTGTATGTTAGTGTCAAAAGTTACTACGGTGTAGCCGAAGTTTTTGAGAAGGTTGATATTGTATTAACATGGCACTTATTTAATATCGCAGGCAAGATATTTTAGGGCAATTTTCGATGGTCAATCTCGAGCTCTTTCACATTGTGGAGGAGGTTAAGAAGGTTTCAAAGGCATTTGTAGTACACCCGAAAAATGTAAATGCCGAGAATTCTACAAGTATATACCTATCTCTTCTTTTCTTACAACGTGCAACTATTATTATGTAGTAACTACTTCTCTGTTACAAAATTGTAGTTACCATATAATTTCTATTATGTGCTTTTGGTATTCTCTCTATTTCTTTTAGCATTTTTAGTACTTATTCTATCTGGCATGCCAGAATTGGTCCCTGCTGGATAGGTTATGATGATAGAGAATACTCTGTGCAACCTCACTTGTAATATTTTATATGGCTGTTTTGGAATTTTATAAAAACTATCTGGTTGGACATTGATTTAGGCCATTTTCTGAGGATTAGAGATCCGTTGTCAAGAACTTTAGTAGTTATTTTACATGTACATGTGAAGCATCATTGTAAATGAAATCTAGGAAAAGTAAAGCATTGGCAAGATTCTTTAAGGTATCTAGTCCTAGTGAGTCTTCTTTTATATGCTTTAAAGTATTAAAAGAGGAATATTTTAATGAACAGGTTTGGATTCAATTGGAAAGGAAGATGAGAATATAAGCATAAAAGCGAACTTCAATGCGTAGACCATTACTATATTAGTTTTAAATTACTAATCCTTACAACTGATACTTTACTTTTACTTAACAGATAGTTTAAAAAATCCATAAAAAGGTTGTAATAAAATTAATGATTACAGTAAGGCACTTAGTGCTATTGGTTTGTCAAAAGACACAAGAACTCCATGGCCAGATTTTTTTTTTTTTTTAAAGCTAATCTAGGGAGGTCTAAAAGTTAGACTTGGAGGGTCTTGAACCCATGTTCTTTGGGGTCGGCTTATAATACCAGTCAAATGCTCGATGACCACTTTATTGCTGCAGTATAAGATGAAGGCAGACTGGTGATAGAGATAACTTTTATGTCAAGTTTCGTGTGATTCCACAGAACGTTGTCATAATTTGGTCTGGTATTGTTTTACTTTGATTTTGCCATCTGAAACTTGATTACTCCGAGCATTTGGGATGCACTTCATTTTATAGCATTGTGATATTCTAATATTTACAGATTACAACTTTTCTATTAGTTCTCAACAACATTCTAGTCCTCCCCGTTTTCTACAGTTCTTTAATAAATTATGTTTTTTCTCTGCTTAAATATATCCTTCAACCACTTTTGGCAAATTGTCATCAGTGTCTCTAACAACTTTGGATCGCAGTATTACCTGTCATGCTTTCTTCTAAGCTCCTTCCTGAGATGGAGTCTGAGGAGACTTCAATGAAAGAGAAGCTATTGCATAGCCTTTCACACCTTCCAGTATCCACTCAGATTGAAAGGCTAAAGGTACACTTACTCTCCGGACCTTCATTCTCTCTCTGTTATTATTATTTTTGTTATAATTATCATTTCTCCCTATTTCAGTGGATTGCACACATGCAATTTGTCTTTCAACTGTGTAACGAGTGGAAAGAGTAAAAACAATGAGCGCATCCTTTTGTTGGTATTTGTTCCATGAACAGAGCCGAATTGATATGATAGCAGCAGCCTGTGATGGTGCTTCAAAGGCCATAGCTGATGCTCGCAAGGCTTATGGATTAGGATCTCGGCAGGTCCCTTCAATGGTGCCCCCAATTGACAAAGTGCAGGCTGCGAAAATCCAAGAGCAGGAGAAGCTTCTCAAAGCTGCTGTAAATGTTGGTGATGGTAATTTTTAAGTCTTTCTTGCTATCAGTGGTATATTTAATATAGTCTCATTCTTATGTTTCTCCGTTTATAGATTACCTGCTTTTCTTTTTATAATTTCTTTTATTTATTTATTTTTTCGAAATTTCAGGATTACGAATACCTGGAGATCAAAAGCATCTACCATCAGTTCTGCCTGCTCACTTGGTTGATGCACTATCATCTGGAGATGGTATGAAAAGTTTTATCGATCTTTATTGTAAATAAGTTAGTTGTCCCTCTTGCTCTTCATGCTTGTCTATGTCTATAAGTTAGTTGTCCCTCTTGCTCTTCATGCTTGTCTATGTCTATAAGTTAGTTGTCCCTCTTGCTCTTCATGCTTGTCTATGTCTATAAGTTAGTTGTCTCTCGTGCTCTTCATGCTGATCCATCAGTTATCATTCAGCGTCAATTATGGTCAATCATATGCAGTTGAATTTTTTCACAGGTGTCCACCCTAAAAATCCTCAAGCGATATCCACAAATAACATTGGCACTCAGGGAACTGCTATACAGGTATTCTTACTTTCAAGTTCTATATAATATCGCTAATGTTATGGTCATTTTTCCATTTGGATGAATTATTGGATTTCATTAACAGTAGATCTCCTATAGTATTCTTATTTCGCTGTAAGTTAGATCTCCTATAATCAATTGTAGAGTAATGCCTAGAGATACACAGAGACACCTGAAACTTTTAATTGGTTTGGTGATTACCTTTGACGGCACATTTGTTCAGACTTCAGATTCAGAGTCTCTGCATTATATCTTAAGCATAGAGCATTTCTTGGAGTTTGAGGCATCATTAGTTGGTTTCTCCAAGGTTCATATGGTCTAATCATCGAGAGGATGATGCCCACTAGGCTCGACCAGTTTCTACTTCGTGTGGATTGGGAGACTTATCTTTCCTGGATCTTCTCAACAGGACCTCGTCTAAGCTTGTTTTGGATCATGTTTTCATCATGTTGGGAATGACCATGCTGAGTGGCCGGCCTGTTCACCCCTCGATCTTACGAGTTTGTTGAAACATGGTGATCAGCGATTCAGGTGGCGGGATGGTGGTTTAGGATCAGTAAGAAGTGCTGTTAGCATCGATAAAGAAACAATGCTCTTTTAGGAAGAAACTTTTGGATCTAGTTTTAACAGAGAGATAGGAAGGCGATTAAACCTCAGGAGATATAAAATGCTATTAGAAAGTCATAATTTTACTCCTTTTAACCACATTTCGTTTGGGAGAACTCCAACAGTAACAGCATCACAACACTTTTATTTCAACTCTCAAGGATTTCTTAAAAAAAAGAGAAAAAAAAAATATCAAGGATTTCTTGCAGAAAGTTATTCAGAAGCTCTTATATATATGAGAGAGTGTGTGTGTGTGTGTAAACTCGGTTGGTAACTGATCACAAAGTCCGAAAATTCTCCTGTGCATCCACAAATTTCTGCATTGTTCCATTGCATTGTAGTTCCTGAGTAATCATAGATTTTTCGAACAAAATTTTCATTGATATGATCTACTGTAATTAACTATTTAGTTTCTGAATAAACATTCGGCTCATGTTTCAGAATTCGTATACGCAATTTGGTGGGAGGTCAGTCCCATCTCCCTCAGGGGGAACTTCATCCATTGATAATACGTCCGCATCTCCTCTGCCATATGCAAACTCACCTAGGTCAGGAACAGGCATGATGAATGTTCCTTCTCCTCAACAGCAATCGCAACAGCAACAACAGCATCAAAGGCAGAAACTGATGCAATTGCCCCAACATCAGCAGCAACTAATCTCCCAACAACAATTGAGGCAATCTGCCTCACCTGGATTGAGTCAGGTCCATTTATGCTTCTCTTCTTTCATTTTTTTTTTTGATAGTCAAATTTCCTTATTTTAGTTTCAAGTTAGGTTCAATAACTTAGGTTCAATAACTGAGTAATTGGTATAGGTTTCATGATTTCTTATATCATGTGGTAAACTTTTTCTTTCAATTTGCTTACCTGAATCTTAGTTTGGTTAGTTTTTTGCACATGTGAGTTACCTGATTCCTACTGAGTCTTACCTGAGTGGTGGCCACTATACTTTGTTTTGGACCGTTCAATTACAGTGTTCTTCATAGATATTGTGCCCCTATAAGATTAAATTGGAAAATGTCATTTATTTCAGGTATTTCACATTTTTCTTTGTGGAAGCTCCGTTATCTTTTTTCACTTGATTTGGGCATGAAGCCATGAACCCTTCTAAGACGGTGACAACAATGATTAAATGAATGTTTGCGTGTTAATTAATTGGTTGTGTAAAACTTAACAAATTTTTGTATAGACCCATGATTGGTCTTCATTGGTAAGGGATCTGAAGGATGTGGAGGGCAATGAGTCAGTGATTTTTGTGTTCATCCCTCAGATCTGTGTTTATGGGAAAATCTGAAGGTGGGAAAATAAATAGGTTGGCCTTTTGGCTTCATAGGCGTTTTTAGTCTTCGTTTGGTTGATTCCTGCATTGATGGCAGTTTTATGAGCTGCCTGCTCTTGGTGTCTTCTCCTGTACTTTGGAAAGGTCACGTTTTGTGTTAGATTTGTCCCGTAACTTTCCTCATGGGTTTAAAGAAAATGAGGGAAAACTAGTGGAAGGACACTCTTCAGGGGATCAGATAAGGAATTCATGACTCTTTGGTTTCTTAGGCTATTGGTTTTAAGGAAGGAAAAGGTTGGATGATATGGTTCATAGTGTATGATATTTGTAAGGTTCCGTGTGTGCTAGGTCTTATTTTAATGGGCACCTTTATGTAAAATCCCCTTGGAAACGCTCTTTAATGGAACTTTAGCTTTAGGTTGTCATGATCAAGAAACCACATGTTTTGCTTGGTGGGTCAGGAATGCCTAACTTATCAATTTGTCTGGTAAATTACTCGGGGCGCATGTGGCCCATGCCGGATTAATTGTATTTTGGGCGGGAGCAATGAATCTATTTGAAGTGGCTCAGTTTGTACCAGAAAAACCTATGTATGAACAAGGATTAATTTTACTTCCCCATCTAGCTACTCTAGGTTGGGGGGTAGGTCATGGGGGGGAAGTTATAGACACCTTTCCATACTTTGTATCTGGAGTACTTCATTTAATTTCCTCTGCAGTCCTAGGCTTTGGTGGTATTTATCATGCACTTCCTGGACCTGAGACTCTTCCATTCTTCGGTTATGTATGGAAATATAGAAATAAAATGACCACTATTTTGGGTATTCACTTAATCTTATTAGTTGTAGGCACTTTTCTCCTAGTGTTCAAGGCTCTTTATTTTGGAGGCGTATATGATACCTGTAATGGAAGTTGATTAGTAAATGAAAGACCAGTTCTTGTGCGGTATCTCATTTAAGGTAATTTTATATACTGTACACCCTGATAATGGAAAACCTCCTGTTTGCAGAATGCAGTTCCTCAGCTACATGATTTTCAAGTCCAAAATCAGCAGAAGTTTCAACAGGTGAATGTGCTTGCTGTGTTACTGTTTTTCTCGCATCCTAACATTTTTTTAGACTGATCTGTAAATATGGACATGCACTGCATTCATGGTTTTGAATTGGCTTTTTTCCCTAAGCATCTTTATCACAGTTGCATGGGCAACATCAGGCACAGTTTTCTCAGCCACAATCACATCAGCAACTCCAAAACAGGCCACTACAGTCAGCACATATTCAGCATAACATTGGACAAAGTCAAATGAGCCAAGCGAATCAGCTTAGGAGCCATCTAGGCCAGTACACTGGAACCGCAAGTACTGCCTTGTTCAATGCTGCTCAGGCTTCAACGAACTCTCAAATGGTGAGAATTTCCTCCAGTTTGCTTAGTTGCATCAGCAGTTCCTATTTTGTTAACTTCTTTGCCGTTTGAGAATGATCATTATAAATGAACAACCTTTTTGGTTTTTGAGCAAGGAGATGATACAAAAGTTAGAGTCCACCATCAAATGGTCTTTGAATCCCCTTTCTTGTGGTCATTTAAAGTAGTTTCTGCATTATTTCCTCAAATTTTCAAGTTTAGGGCATATGTTCAGCTTTCTGATGTTTCTCAGTGATCTATATCAGATGCCAAATATGCCTGCCGCAATTTCATCACAATCGATTTTGCCAAGAATGCAGGTAAAATTGTGTCTTTATTCTCTTTGAGTTATTGTTTCTTCCACAATATATTTTATATATTCCCTTTGAGTTATTGTTTCTTCCACAATACATTTTATATTCTTTTTGACAATATTATGTGCATGCTCTTGTGGTATGAGCCTTTAGCTACACTCACCTTTTCTCTTAAGTTAAATGTACCTCAAAATGAGCTATTTATTTTACTCAAGGTTAAAGTACAATGACCTGGCATTAGAAATTTACATTCTTCTGTATATTATATATGGGAAAGTATACAATGCGCAACGGTATCCAAATATATTGAAGTGATTGGGGTCATTAACATCCAATGAAATTGTGGACAGTTATGAAGAGATAGTGGGACCCACCAGAATGAGGGCAAAAGCCCACATATAGGGTAGGACCGGTTCTCCTTCCATTGTGAAGAGAGCGAGGTGTTCCTAGATGCACAACATTCTTGTAATCAAGTGGCAATGGGGCTATCCTGGTTCCATTTACTAATCCATGTCGTATGCTGCTAATCATATATCAAGTAAAAGAAACTGAAGAAAATTGCCCGTCTTGACTTGCCGTTCCTTGGTTTTTCTCCCTTATTTCTTGGGGCCTTTTGCACCCAGCTTTTTTTCCATTCCTGAGCTCATTTTCTGTATGCACAAAAAGAAATTATAAAATGGAAGAAGCCCCCTCCAAACACACACACACATGCACGCACGCACACACACACACACAGAGGACAACTTAATTAGGCACCTACAAGATGAGGTACTGTAGTGTATGTTGTTTGTGGACACATAGTTTTGATTGATGAGACCCAAAGCTACATCAATACAAAGTTAGAACTCTAGAGGGATGTTCTAGAATCTCAAGGTTTTAAAATTAGCCGAATTAAGTCGTAGTATATAGAATGCAAGTTTAGTAATAATAAGAGTAGAGATGATAAAGTACTTAAGATTGACGGCCAAGAAATACCAAAAAGAGTGCACTTTCGATATCTTGGGTCAATAATTCAGGAAAATGGAGAGATTTAGAAAAGTGTCACACAGATTTAGTTCTGATTGGGCGAAGAGGAGATGTGCAACCGGTGTTTTATGTTATCGCCACATATCAATGAAGTTGAAGTTCTATAGGACAACTGTGAGACCATTTTTCCTTTATGTGGTGGAATGTTGGGCGGTCAAGAAACTAACATACCCATAGGATGATCGTAGCTGAGATGAGGATGGTGAGATGGATGAGTGGCAAGACAAGAAGGGATATAATTCGAAATGAATACAGTCGGAAGAACTTAGGTATGGTTTTAATAGGAGATAAGCTGAGAGAAAGTAGACTTAGGTGGGCTAGCCATTCGTAATGCAGACCCAGTACAACACTTGTTAGGAGGTGTGAGTTGCTTCAAGTGGAAGGCTCAAGAAGAGGTAGGCCCAAAAGGCCATCGTTGAAAGTAGTGAGAAAATATATGGGGACTTATTGCCTTAGTGACTGAGTGTATGGCCCTTGATAGGGCAGAATGACAGACCAGGATTCATGTAGCCGACCCCAAATAGTTGGAAAAGGCTATGATGATAATGATGATGATGATGATGATGATAATATATATATATATATATATATATATACACACACACTACAAATCGCCTATAGGCGAAAATGAACAGTGATTTCGCCTACCCTCATCACCGTCCAAAGTTCATTTCACAGTCATGATTGTCTGGTAGTGTTTTATTTTTCAATTTTTTTCTACAAATCGTAATGACCTAAAATTTAGAACGTGTGTTCATAAAAAATAGGCAAATCTATGAAAAATATAAAAATAAAATAAAAAAATGACCAAAATACCCCTGAAAAGTATCGGGTGTATTTTTGTTTTTTCTCCAATTTTTTTTTTTTATATTTTTATTCAGTGAGTCTCACTAAGATGTACACTCTCCAAATTTCAGATCATTCCAATTTGTAGAAAAAAAAAAATGAAAACTGAAATACTACCCGACAATCGTGACCGTGTGATGAACTTTGGACGGTAATGAAGGTAGGCGAAATCACTGTTCATTTTCGTCTATAGGCGATGGGAAGACTTTTCCATATATATATATATATATATGTAAGAGAGAGAGATTTGAAGGTATTTTATGATTTCAAGAATAACAATGTTGTCATGGTCTCTATTCCATTATGGTATTGAATATTTTATATGTTTTTTATATGCTAATATGTGACAGTTATGAGGTATTTAATGACTATCATCTTATTTACTTTTCCTTGTTTTTCAGTTAGGGCAGCGGAGTCATCCATCGCAAATGTTGAATGAGCAGAGTAAATAGACCTCCCCTTCTCAACTTTTTTTTTGTGCACATATTATTCTGCAACTTTCATAAAGAACCTGTGGTAATTCTGCAAATTTTAATGCGAAGAACATATGAATTCTTGTACTATTTTGTATTTCTGCATTAGGCAATGAAGCTGCAATGTTGTAGAACTGAGATTTAATAAGACTTAAGAAGTGTGAAATTTTTTCTATTAAGCTTGCCATTTGCCAGGGTTTGATATTTGCATGTAAACAAAACCTTTATTTTTTTATAAGTAAAACAAATCCATCGAAGTTTAACTTGTTCATATAACAAAACCCATTACTAACAAATACTAAACATATGATTTACTATGTCTTCTTTTCTCTTTTCTTGCAGTGTTTAATATGGGAGCCACCAATTCTGCAAATATGGCTCAGATGCAGCAGCAACAACAATTTGGGGGTGTTCTAACCAATACTCAGAATCTGCAACAAGGTCTTGTCAACCTTCAAAATCCCCAAAACTCAAACTATCCTCAGCAGAGGCAACCACAACAGTAGTTTTGTCTTCTTTCTTGAGACTACAAGTTTTTTTATTTTATTTTATTTTTCCAACTTTTTTCGTTGCATAATATGATATTTAAGTTATATGAGTTTGGATTACATTTTACCCAAAAAGACCGAGATTAGCCATCTTCATTGCTTTGAAACTCATTACGGACTTGGTCCCTACTTGGAAAAACAGATAGGGCCTGTCTTCCTCATTGAATTACCCAAAGAAAAGAAAGAAAGAAGACTTGGTCCTTAACAAAACCAAGTTGACATGGAATGGGATTTGGACCTAGCCAGTTGCCTAGGCCATTCCACAATTTACCACATTTGTAGAAATGTTGTAATCATATCGACATAGACACCATATGAGGGGAAAACTGTCCATGTGGCACAACCGACATATAAAGTATATGAGACCCCTATTCATAGCTATCTGATTGGAATGGATAATAACAAACATAATGTCACAAGCAAGTAAGTTCTTGAGTGTCTGATCTTAATTAGACGCCTTATTGTTTATTTTATCGATCATTTTACAGTAAAATTTGGGGCTTCACACCTAGAAATAAGAAAAAAGATATTTTTTATGAAGATCACCAAAATATACTTAGATATTGTAGGAGCTTTCTGGTCGTTTTTCAATCAGTCGTTTTTTTTTGGGGGGGGGGGGGGGGTGGCGCGCCACAATAAGGTGTGGACATGCTATAAATTTTGGGGGGGGGGGTACTGGGTGCGCCACAATAAGGTGTGGACATGCTATAAAATTTG